TTTCCTCATGCAAATTTTTTTTTGCATCATCAGCAACATTTTTGGTGCACAGGAAGGAGTAAATAACCTACATAAAATCAATTGCAATATTGCAATCACTTTATTCATATCTCACAGGTCTAAATTAATTATTCATTACAATTATACTAAATTTATATCAGTGCAGCTACACTCTGAAACTGGTTTCTAGTTTTGACCTTGTTCCATCATTAACCTTTGCTTTTAGACTGCCTGTTATTATTTTGCCAGGGAGGTTACCTAAAGGTCAGCCAAATACTTCAGGAAACAAGAAGAGGGAGAACAGGTGAAAAATCCTTTTAAAAATCTTTTTGCTTGTTTCCATATCCATGTGTTCTTTTATAGAAAAAAAAAAAAAAAAACCAAACCAAAACCAAAACCCTAGCACACATAGTGACCAAAATGGCCAAAATAGCAAAGCATTAGAGCAAAGAGGAACAGATTTTTGACAGATAGGTTTGGCTTCTCCCATAGTATTTATTCACCTTTGGCTGTAGTATCTCTGCATGTTGACATTTGTCAATATATCAGATAAAGAGCTGCAAATTGCTTCAAGCATTATTTACTCAGAGCACCTTCTCCCTTTCCCCATAAGTTACATGAGTTTGATTAACAACAGGCTACGAGTCACTGAAATTTGAGCCGCAAATAAAACTGCTGACTGCTCTTGGCATCTATTTAATATTAAAACTCTCCTTGTAAAAACCTCACTTTCCCTTTTCTCTCCAGTTCTTTTTCCATTTTTTATGCTCTTCTGGATCTTTCTAGGAAATACTTTTGGTTGCAATTGGCCACACACATTTATTGTTAAAATGTATACTTAGAAATCTATTACCATTAGACCACTCAAATATTTTTTCCTATCAGTTTTCCAACTGCTGAACAACAGAACTCTTTTAACTAGTCTTACCTTCCCATTTGGTCCAGCTTCTTTTCTGTTCTGCCAGTGAACTCAGACACTGTTTTAACACATCATTTGTATTCCTGAGCTAACCACAATTTGTACCTTTTAAGGCATCCAATTCTAAATTTCTAGCCATACCAAACAATAGGATTTTGTAGCATTTGGGAACCTTTTTATTACTGTATGAGTATCCAGAGTCAAAGAGGTCCACATTTTTATGTGAGGTTTTTCTCTACAARTTTAATTTTTTCCACAGTAAGTATATGGTATTAACCTGAAGGTACAAATTATGTTTCGTTTTCCTAGACTTAATATCCTGTGAGTTCCCAAGATGAGAGTTTGTGTATGTCTGCTGTAACAACCTTGTACCATGGAAAACTAATGTTGATAAGTATGAGTAAGGCAGCCTCTTTCAGTACTTTCAAAGATAATGAGTGCTTTGTTTCTCAACTTTAATTATAAGGGTAAAATATCATGCCTCTGCCCCCTGTAGTAATTAATGTCCTTAAGCAGAGCTATCAGGGCTCCTTATATCAGTAAAACCTGGTGATTAGTACAATCACCTTCTTGCTAATAATGATAAAATGTCAATTGCCTTTCCCCTAGGGTTATTAAAAATTGTGTGGGATGTAGAGAGCAAGGGGAAAACAAACATACCATGCACTTTGTCCTCTTAATGAATTACATTATGTGGCAAAGTGATTTTGATTGTCTCAGTCACTGATGTGCTTTGGTCTTTTTGTTTTAGGGCAGCTTTTATAAACATCCAGTGTTCTGGTAATCCAAACCATGATGTGCCAACATAGCACCTATGTACTGCTACTGAATGAGTAGCACTATTACCTTGATAGAATCTATTAAACTAATGAGACTAGAAATTAAAGCAATATGACTAAAAGATATACTACAGTGTGCCTGTCCTTCAAATTGTTTACCAAGATAATGCTTACTGGACAACTTGTCATCTATACAGCTGGCTTTATAACTGAAAAATATACTAATTCCATTATGTTTGGAAATATGCATATTGATTAGTTTTCACATTTTAAATTCCCATTTTGCTAATATCAGTTAAGTAACAAAGACATTTTTATGTCAAATCCACCCTCAGTGTTTGCTGACAGCTAGTGCTAAAAAACCTTGAATTTGTCAGGTGCTACTCTTGGGTTAAAACATTTAAACTCATTAAATTGCCCTGACATAAGCAGTGGATGATAAAATGTTGTACTCAGCACTTCTCAGGGTCAAAGTCTGAGTCCCAGATTGATTATTTTTTCATACAAGTTTACAGAATATTATTCTTGCAACAGGATTTCACCAAAGATAAACTTGTATTTCTGTGCATAAGCTCACTTCCATTTTTGGAACTAGACTTATTACCTCATAGCCAGCATGAAGTTTGCTCCATTAAAATACTTTGATCTTTTCCTTCTCATCTTGACATATGAGTTCCTGCTGACAAGCTTCTTTGTGAAGATAAATTACACTTCAAGAGGTATGTATTCCAGTATAAAACTGAACTTCATTTTTGATGGAATTGTACAGGATTTGCTAGAAAAATCTCAGCAACACCATAATGCTATGTAGGCTAGAAGGCATGAGTTATAGAACTTGTATTCTGCTTATATTTTGCTATGTTTCCACGTTAATCTCCAATTTATGTAATAAAATGAATAAGGCTGTGCAATGGCAAGAGGAATAATGTGTTCACAGTGAACAGAATGATGAGTACATAAATTTGGTCTTGGCTTCTCTCTTGATCAAGTTTGTGAGATCTTCAATGTATAAATGAGAAATCTCTTGATTTTTTAAAATGGTTTTGTGTTCAAGTCATTAAGCCTTGTTTATAAACTAGAAAGACAATCACATGTATAAAATAGTAATTTGGGAATAAACATTTTTCTTTGGATGTATAAACGCACTGCATTTTCATAACCAGATCTATCCAATTCATATAAAACAAAGGATTCTCCTCGTTCTTTTTCTCCAGATGTACATCAGTGCTAACTAACTAAACCAAACTACATCTGAGAAATATTGATATAATTCATGGCTACTATCAGAAATTCTATTAGTTTTGGTTGTGATATCTGTCCATGTTCAAATATCCTTCCTGTTAAAGTGTTTTCCAGTATCTGTACTGAATCTCCCTTGTTGCAATGAAAACCAATTACCTCTTTTTCTATCACAACACCATCTCTGCAGCAACTCCCTACACATAGATTCTATTTACTCCTCAATCAGCTATAGAATAATAAATTCCCAGTCCTTTCCTATTTATTGCACAGGAAAAAGTTTTGAAATATCTGCTTGTTCTTGATGTCCTCCTTTCAGTTACCCTTCATTCAGAGAAGCATCAAAAGGCATAATGTCTCAAGAGTGATATATTACAGCTAAAAAGAAGAAACAAAGGGTTTTAAATATTAAGGGGAAAGCACTGCAAAATGTTGAAAATCACATGTGATGACAGGATGATGAAATCAGAGTTTCTTGCAGCTCCTGTGTTACATTATTGAGAGGCCTACTTTAACCACCCTTGTAGTGGCTAAAGTAGTTTTTACCCTAGTTCCCGTTGTCAAAAGGACATTTCAGGATCAGCAGACAATTGCCAGCAGTGGCTGTGACTACATGGAAAACAGTCAAAATGCTGAATAGCAGGAAGGGCCAAGCCTGTAATCCTCCTTCCACCCACTAGCTATAAAAACAGTAAAATTAGTAAACTTCTAAATGATTGAAAACAACAAAAAAAAAATTCTACTAGTCTAAATTAAAATTAATTTGCTATGCAGATGTATTTGATATTGAATCCCAAAGTAAAGTAAGGACTGCCAAAGGAATCAAGTTTTTTCTAGACCAGATGTTTGAGGAAAATGAATTATCCATTGACAAGGACAAAATGTGTTTCAGGCAGGCAAGGGGAACACTGGAGCAACACTCTCTGGATGTGATAACTGAGACTGCCCACAACAGGCTTTAATTAATGACAAAATTCATAGCAGCAATTGTAAAAGCCTTTCTCCCACCCCCGTTTACTAGATCTAGGTGAACGGCTTACTAGTATCCTTACAAATACTGACTCTCAGATGCTCCTGGCTCCTCATTTATACCTCTTTCCTTCTAGCTCAATACCTACTCTCCCAATTATTTTTACTACACTCTAGGTTTTATTTTTTTTCCCCTTATTCTTTCACTTGATGCCTCATTTTTAGATTTCCTATCCCACCATCATATAGATTGAGAAGTTTTCTTCTATTTCTCCAGAAGTCAGGCATTTCTGCTAATACCACAAATTTTTGGAAAAGCGTCCAGGTTAGGATGTCAGGCTACTGTTTGAGACATGGGCATTGCTTTCACAGATACTTGGGGGAAATGATCATAGAATCCATTAGACTGGGAAGAAAAAAGTATGAGATCATCAAGTCTACTTGACCACGGCACTAAGTGCCACGGTCAGTCTGTCCTTAGACACAGCCAGTGATGGTGCCTCCACCACCTTCCCGGGCAGCCCATTCCAATGCCTAATCACCCTTTCTGTAAAGAAATTCTTCCTAAAGTCTAACTTAACCCCCGCCTGGCGCAGCTTAAGACTGTCGTCTCGTCCTGTCACTGGTTGCCCGGGGAGAACAGACTGACCCCCACCTGCCTTCAGCCTCCTTTCAGACATTTGGACAGAGCGATAAAGTCTCCCCTGCGCCTCCTTTTCTCCAGGCTGAAGACCCCCAGTTCCCTGAGCTGCTCCCCACAGGACTTGTTCCGCAGTCCCTTGCCCAGCTCCGCGGCCCCTGGTCGGATTGCCCCGCTGTGGGCCGCCAGYTCCCCAGAGCCTCACCGCCTCAGCCGCGCGGCTCCAGCGCTCGTACGCCTTTAAGGGCGGCCGCCCGCGCCCCCACGTGTGCGATCAGCTGACGGCGCGTCCCTCCCCTGCCCGCCCCTGCCGCTGCCCCGCTCCCTCCGCCGCGAGGTGCGGGCGGCAGCGCGGCTCTGACAGCGCCGCCGGGGCAGCACCGCGCCCCCCGCCCGTCCCCGGCGCGCTCGCCCGGCCCCGCCGCGCCGAGCGCCCCGCGCCGCCGGCCCCGCCGCTCCTCCGCGCCCCGTGAGGGCTCTGCCCCCGCTGGCCCAGCGCCGCTGTTAGCCGGGCGGGCGCCCGCGGCCCCTCCGGAGAGCTCGGCAGCGCGGCGCCGGGCGCCACCCCGGTACATGGATTACCTGGTAGGTTCCCGGGGGGAGCGGACCGTCGGACATCTTACCGAGCGGCTGGGGCGGCGTCCGCGGCGCCGGGGGAGCGCGGGGGGCTGGCCGGGGCCGGGGGAGAGGGGTCCGGCCGCGCTGCCGCTCTCCGCCCGCCGGGCTGTTAACGGGCGATAGAGCGGCCGGGCCCCGCTCATTTGGCCGCTATTAGGTTGCTAAAGCCGTGACCCGGGTCGCTGTTTTTTTCCTAAATGCTGGAGCTTAGGGCACGCTTGAATGAACTAAATTGCTACCACGGGCGGGATCAGCCGAGCGCCCGGGCAGCTGGTATTCGGGGGTAGTGTTTATTGCTCTTTAATGAATATTGGCTCCATTCGTCCGCGAGAGATCCGTATCGCGGGCGCGCTCCTCGGCTGGGGTCGCGGCTGCTGTTTGCATTCAGCCGCGCACCGTCGGCGAGCCAAAATCCTGTGGCACGGCTGGGTAATGGGCAGGTGGCTTTGTTTTAGTATGGTACCTGCTTACCTGGTCTTTTCAGCCTAACAGTGGGAGGGCGTAACAAGCACATCCCATCGCTTTGGCATCCCATTGCTCCAGTCTTGTTGCTTTGAGCGCTGTGCTGTGGTCTGGTGCTCGCTCCTTCACCACGAAGTGCTGCGAAGCGTCAGCTGRGGCAATGAAGAGCAGGCGTCTTTCTGGCCATCCCTGTTCGTTGTTGCTATCAAGTGCAACCAGGAAGTATTTGGAGTCAGAATATTGACTCTGCCATTCATATGTTTTCACACGAGATGCTCAAGGGTGTAGGCTTTCAGAAAAGGCTCATCAAATGAAACCGAATCTCTGGAGATGCTCTTTTTAGTGAACTGAAGATCTGCCATGTTGAGATGAGAGCTGTGTGCACTGTCTGGCTTTTCCTTTTCTGATGGTTAACTAAACGAGAAATAAGTTAAATTTGTACTTTGCTTTTYATGTGTCTATGTAGCTAAGATTTATTTTGGTTTACTGAGCCTTACACTCCCCAAAAATGTGTTAGGCTTGTCTTTCTGAACACAGAGAGACCAGAAAATGAGTCCTGAGTGTGGCAGAAATGGTAGGCAGACTTCTGTTTAAGAACCTAGTTAATGAAATACTGATAATAAACTAGCCCAGTATCAAGTGCAACCTTATAGCTCCTTGAGAGCCTGGAGCTGTTTCTTAGTTTTTGGTTTTTTTTGGTTTTTTTTTTTTCCTTTATAAACTTATATCCAGATGAAACTGGCCATTCTGTACTTTTTGAAATGCTTGCATTAACCTTTGTGACTGCTACAGGCTGTTGTGTGGAAGGCCAACCACTCTGAGAACAATAAATTTAATAAGCCTTGGAAACTGAGAGCATGTTTTTGTATTAACTGAAGGGGGAAGGGAATTAAATAGCTCTATTTTTTTTTTTTTTTTCCCCGCTGTCTCTTATTCTCCAGTTGGTCCTTTTCCTCTTTTTCATTGTCTGGCCTTTTTTGGTGTCAGCTCTAAAAAAACCCTAAGTGAGCAGCTAGTTCAGGCACCTCAGAAAGTCTGCTTTAACAAAAAAAAATTGTGATGGTGAGTTAGACAACTAGGTGTGCTAGTTGTGCTTTCAGCTTGTCCCAGTCCTCTGTGGTGTAAAGATGGGCCTACTCTTTATGCAGTTTTTGAAGTTATTGCGTGAATGTTAAACTATAGATGTACAACAAGTGTCTCATTATTTTCATAGCAACAGTAGCAAAGAACTGTTCATGTTAAAGAATTTTGTGTTTTGTGCATTTATGTTGGGTTCTTGCACATACATGGRCATCAAAACACAAACCAGAAGGTGCCTTTGCTGGTTCCTTATGTTGGGCACCTGTGTTGCAGCCTGCAGGCAGTGAGGTTTTCTCCCATGCTTACCGTGTGAGGCAGAGAGCAGAGCAGAGAATGAAGTTATTTCTGCCTGCAGTAGTGCTGGAGCAGGTATTAGACCAAGTTTTGGTTATCAGTGGGGCTGATAACCCAGGGAGGGAGTTTAGTGGAAGGAAGTGAGGATAGATGAGATCAAGGTTTCTGCAGCATGGGTTCAGGGGTCAATCCATCACCACAAGGAGTCTATCCTCAGCCAGCTTTTCCCTAGCTTGTGTAGGAAGATTCTTTACCTGGTTTTAGCTGGATACATTGATGGAGACTTCCTTTCTCCATTAAGAAGGAGATCCCAAGAAATACTGAATGTCTGAAGTACCTTCCAATTTCATCAAGTTATTGAAAGCATTCAAACCTTGCTCAAAGTGAAGTCAGCTTGAACTATAGCCTGAAGTTTTTATGAGCAGATACCCAAAACCTGAGAACAGCCTCCCCTACTTATGGTGTGGTCTTTGATTTATGGCTGATGCATTTGGTAATAAATTGGTACTGAAAGAGTATCTTCTGTGATGCTCTGGTCTGTTTTTGCCGTTTTGAATTGCAACAGAAAAATATCGCTGGCCTCTGTATCTTTAATGGCTAGAAGAGGCTCTTCAGCTTGGTGCCTTTTCTATTTTTGTATTAATATAATTGTGATGTTAGAAGTGGCATGATTTTTTTTTTTTTTTTTTTTTTTTTAAGCAGCATGGCTAAACCAGGTTCAACCTCTAAAAAAGGAATACATCTTCATTCAGACACACCTTTTACTAATACATGTTGTTCTTCTTGTATTTAGTTAACTGTTGTAAAACATGCTATGTGAACGTAGCTCTGTCAGTGTGGATCTCTAGGTTTTTGTGGCTACATAATCCAGTGTTCTGTCTGCAACCTTCTTTGGCTTCATTCTTGCTACATTGTGTCTGGAAGGATTTTACTGTGTTGGTTGGCCTATGTTCAGTAGACTATGCCTAATTTAAGAAGTTATGGCATGGTGCATCTTGTGAAAAGCATGGCATGTGACCAGTCTTACAGTTTTTGCTTGGAGAACTTGTGGGGAAACTATAAAAATGCTTTGGTTTTCTTATGTGCTGCAATTACAATGCAAATTTTAAGCTCCTGAGTAGACTTTTACAATGCACTTCTTCAGTGGCATCCTCTCTGCAGGTAAAAGTTCTTACATGCATATGTTCAATGTAACAGCCTGATCTGTGTAGAATTTTTAAAAGCCAYTTGAGACAGTGATGTAAAAATTTGAATGTGTCTTTTCACTAACAAAAAGAAGAGGCGTTATACTAGCCTAAGAGGTTTATTAAAAAAAAAAAAAATCTGGTAGTCTGTTTAGTTTTATAATTTTTGCATTTTTGTTATCATAGCTTATCTCTAAATTATTTTCCAAGATACTATGTACTATTTTAGTTATATATAAATATATTTCTTGGGCAGGTGTTGAAGAGCATATTCTGACCTTTCAAAATGGAAGATAACACTTCTTGCATGATCAACCACTTCAACTTTAGTCTTTTCTATTTTTTTCCATTTTCTGAGGAGTTAAACATGAACATGTGTTCTACAGTTTCAAAAGTGTGTACGCTCCTAGTGTGCTAGAATCCTTGTTGCTTTATTGGGGGTTGGTTTCTTTTAACTATAACAAGTTTGTGGGTTTTTTTGTTCTTTGTACATTTATTAGCTGATACAAACTATTTTGCTGCTGTATGGCATACACACAAAACCTCAAATTTGGGGAGTTTTTGAGTAAATTTAACTAAATTTTCAAATTTTAGATGAATAATGAATAGGCCTTGAAGTGACAAGAGTTTCTACTTGGTTTCTACTGATGTTTTTAAAAATGTTAGATGACATTAAAAAAAAAAAAAAAGGGTTCTGAGCAGCTTTTCTTTCTTGGACAGCTTACTTCTAAGTCCTACCTTTTAAATAGTTCAGCTCTTTAATTGTACAGCTTTGATTCAGAATATGGCAATATGGGATACCTCAAGATCACCTAGTGATTCTGGTCTACTTTAGATCCTGTCTTCTATTGCTGTTGCCAGTTCCATTGTTTGGTATCTGCAGGACATGGAAAACATTCTTTCTGATGTTACAAGTGGCATTACAGGGGCATATGTTTAAAGGCTACACTTCTACTTCATTGAAACTTTGTAAATCAGTAGATGCTGTCCTTTGAATAAGGAGAGAATGTGGTAAGGTCCATACTAACKACTCTGTGTTTTCACTCTGAGGCACATATTTTAGATACGTTTTCTGCAAACATGGGCAGCAAAGGTCTATACTTTGGGCCTTGTCCTCTTAAGAGTTTGCTAAACACCGATCTCATACGAATTTTGTCTTTTGTCATGCCACAGTTAGGATTATTTGGGCTCTGTGTTGACTCATCTATCAGCTGTAATATCCTTGAAAATTTACACCTTCTGTAGAGCCTTTTTCTTACTATCCCTGCTTCAGTTTGGGAAGTTGACTAGACAGTTGTTTCAAAATAAAGGTGTAGCTGAATGCAGGAAAGAAAACAACTAGCTGTAAGGTCAGCTAGTGAACAGGGTGCATGCAACTGTTTTAGTGACTGAATCAAATGTGAATCTTTGAATTGAAGAGGATAATACTTACAGTTGTATGTTTGCATTGCAGTGAACTTAATATTTTTTCAAATGAAACCAGATGGAAATATGTACTTCACTAATGGGTTTTTACACCACCGGCCTAGTTCAGAACTAGTGTCTGAAGTAGTGCCAACTCTTGCTGTGTACCACCACATGCTCTGCAGTATGCTGCTCCTGAATTCTCTTCACTGAGACCTCCAAGCTTGAGGCAACATGGTGATGAATTACACAAAAGGTTAGAAATATAAGCTTTTAATCAGTGAGAATATCTGCATTCAGTAAGGACAGAATATTCCTTCTAATACCACATGCTGCTTAACATTTTTGGCTTGTTGTCAGTATCATCAGCTCATGTTTTTTAATACTGCCAGCTTGTGGTATGTATTCTTTTAAGCTGAGTTCTGAAATTTTGTGATTGTGTGAGGATATTAGCTTTCCATTACTAAAATACGCATTTTTAGTTTAGTTTAAAACCACATATGTGGTCCCAAGAAGCTGTGAAGCCATATGAAAAAAAACACAAGAGTATTTAAAATCTTGTGCTTCTTTGTGTTTTGGCTCATACTGCTCTGCAATATGCTGGTTTTGCTGTTTTTCACTGTGTGTGCAGCATTACTTTCTGAAGTCCAAACTGTCTGATTGTATGAAAATCCTTATGGACATAATTAGGGTATTTGCAATTGAATAAAAGATAGCTCATCTCATGCTTGAGCTCTTCAGCGTACAGAGTTTCTTTTTGCTCATTGGCAGCCTGGTARGGTGACTAAATTAATTGCCAGTGAGTGTGTAAGTAACTTCCTTCTATCTGAGGAAGAGACATAAAGCAGGAAATGTAGCTGACAAGTCCTCTTGTGCTAGATGTAGTCCTGCCTAGAGCTTTGTTGCTTATAAGAACAAACAGTAAGAAGATGAATCTTTGTATGATGCTCTGGTGTATGTTTTGGTGGAGCAACAGAAGAAAAATTTGTTCATGGGACCCACATTAGCTTTTGGCATTGGAGAGTSTGAGTAAGCAAGATGGCATCCAAGATCCACTAGGAACTGTTGATATGGGGGAAGTAAGTTTGGAGATTTATTTTTTTGTTATGACTTGGAGTTTTTGTGAGGAAGAAACATCTGTTTTCTTCATTTTACTAGCTTTTACAACAACTATTGCATAGTCTTCCTTTATATGATTTTGACTCTTAACAGAGATGAAAAACTCAGACGCAATTAAAAATGAAGTAATCATTTTGTAATCTGTAATACAAATTTCACAAATGGGCATTGAGAGCACAGCTCTGGCAGTGAATAAGAGGGAGAAGTGAATGCAGAGATTACGAGGGAATTTAATGTTTGTGTTTAGTTGTATAAACTGTGTGTGCTCTGGATGGGTTGATGCAGAGACAAATATCAAGAGTGCATACTGAACCCAGGGAAAAATCATAGTACCTCTTCTAATAGTCACAATAAAATGGCAGATGAGATTCAGTGTTGATAAATGCAAAGTTGCATATATTTATAGTGGAAATCACATGGCAGTACAGATGCATGGATAGGCYCTAAAATACCAACAGTGCTCAGGAAAAGGAATGAGGATCCTTCTTTAAAATGTCATCTCTATYCAGACATCTGTCAACAAATTTAGAGTATTAAGAAGGAAAAAGAGGGAAAGATCTCATTTTTACACTGCTTGAATGTAAGGTTTGCTCCATGCTACATTTCTGGTTGCCATCATCTCAGGAAATGTATTGAAAAACCAAAGAAGATACAGAGAAAGATGATGTGGTAATTGAAGGAAAGCAATTGCTTCCATCCAAGCAGGGATTAAATAGTTATAGCCCTTTGGTGTGAAGAAGAGACAGCTGACTGGTATGAGGAAGCAATATTGTAGACATCTTTGAAATCAGAAAGAGAAGGTGGCTAGGCAATAAGTAATTTTTTTCCCAGCAGAAGAGCTCACTGACAGTTATAATCCAGGAACTGTGTTTTCATGTGAGTGTAGTGGAATTCTCACTTGTGCAGTAATGTGAGGGTGGTCAAGACGAGTAGATGAGGAATTTGTACAGTGTCTTCAAAGACAGGTCTGTTGTGAGTGGATGTTAAACATGATGTTCAGATGTGATGGTAGGAGATCCTTAAGTTGTGATTGCTGCAACATGAGGATAGGTCCATGAGATATGATTCCCTGGATGTCCTGATGCTTTGCTGTGGGCTAAAGACATTGATTCCTCCTCATTGAGAGGACACCCAGAACTAGTTCTGGAACAGGAAATTGCAGTTAGAAAATTGAAGTATTCTGGGTGGTGTCCAGGAATGCTCCCCAGTGTAATCAGAATTGCATTGACTGTGCAGGAGGTGAGACTTTTTATTTTAGAGGGATTTATGAAGATACTTAATCTGCTCCAGGGGCACCCTTCTAAYGGATTCCTTCTGTTTGGAGGTGCTGCCTTGATAAATAAGGAGAGGTTATTGGCTTTCCAGCATCTGTGTAGGTAAGGCCCACAACACCGAGTGAACCTGCGACTGAATAGACAGTGTATGTAGAGAGAAGATGCACTCTGCAATGAGTGATCTCTTCTCTTAGTGCTTTCTTCTTGCCTAGAAACTTGCATAATTTCAGGTTTTAGCAAGACTGGAGAAAAGGTCCAGAATTCTTGAGAAATGTCTATGCTGTTCTTGCAGCTATTAATTTTCTTCTGGCTAATCTGCATTTTTCACTGCCTGAGCCATTGCAGTCCTGGAAACAGTCATGGAAAACTGTTCTAGTGAGAATATTGCCTAAAAGAGAGGAGAGCATTGTTCTCTGGTGCATCCACTTGATTACTTTTTATGATGACAAGAGAGGTCTTGGATCCAGTCCTATTTCCTGTTCACATATCATTGCTTTTCCATCAACGCCAGGTTTCCTCTAGTCTCTAAACTAAGATTTATTTTTCTAATGATTATGTATGAGAAGATTGGTATTTTAGAAATTGAATTATTTGGCATTAAAGGAGAATGAGAAAATATTTGCTGTCTTTTATTCCTGAGAACTGTGTAAAAAGAATTTGGGGAGTTTAAATTAGAAGTGTTACTAATGGAATGTGCTAGAGGGCTGTGACATCTTGTGCAGAAAGGGGAGCCTWGGACTTACTGGTTGGAGTTCAGTACACAATCTTAGCAAACAGCGGTTCTGGTTGAAGTTCCTGCTACCTTTGCTATGGTGTAGTTGTGTGTGATTTTGGGTGTTCCTTAAAACACATAAGCACTGAGAATTTGTTTTAGGCTCCRTACATATACAGGTGCCTTTAAATCTGCATATCTGATACACTTRTATTGCTAATTTTCTGTAATTTTATACACTGAAAAAGATTCAAATAAGAATGGAGATATWAAAACTTTCTCCTGGAAGATCCAGCAATTCCAAGTGATTACTGGGTTGGATYACTTCATTATAAATGAGCAGAAGTGTGTCTTGATGTTCAGTTTTTTAAAGAAACATATCACCAGAAAAAAAACCTTTAACATCTTCCTTTCCTCACTTTGCTTTCTGGTTTTGTGCTCTTGGAGCAATACTTCCTGCTGTGATTTATTTAGGATTTTGTCACAGCAAGTTGAGGTCGAGGTGAGTATGTTTGGTGGCAGAATTGAGGATACCAACTCCTGCTGTTCTGTTAGTTGCCTTTTTTTTTCTTTTCTGAGAACCTGATTAGGATCCCACTCCCCTGCTGTCCATGAAGGTTCTTGAGGGCAGTGCTTTCAACTCAGTGCTTGCAGCTTTGAAGTCATCAGTTGCAGAACATGCTCTAATTAATCTTTTCAAAATCTSCTCTCTTGTAAATATTATGAGTAGGGATTTAATCTTGTATTTGCTGATGATATAGATATTTAAAACAATGGCTTTGTGAGTTGCAGACTGTGTGTATGTGTCAGAGCTGAATGTGATTTTTGTTTTTTAAACATCTGAAAATGTTTAAAAATACTGAAACTGTTTTTTACTGATATTTGTACTGATAGCWGAATAATTGAAAAATGGGCAGAACAGATGCTTGCTGTGAATTGAGTGTTGCACAGCTGCAGGGCATACATCTTTCTAAATCATTAAGAACAGCCACATTTTCACAAGGTACAATTAAAAAGTCTTGGGCAAATAGGAAAGTTAGCCATGAGTTTAATTTCCAGTGGGAGAAATKATTTATGGTCCCTAAGCAGAAGGGGCTTTTTGGCAGAGATACTTGCTTATACTGTGTGACATATTTGACCTGATGACTTTGTTTTTCACTTTAGACATGTGAAGTCACTTCTGTGAAGAATTAGTCTGTAGAATTGTATCAAACAAGGTATCTTTCTTTCTTTCTTAGTATTCGTAGGTATATTTTTACATTTTTTTCTTTTGTTTTCATGCTTACCGTGTAAAATCCTTTCAGAAAGCAACARTAAACTGTAAGTAAATTAAATGCAAATTTTCCAACCATTGTTTTGTTGCCCAATTGTATGGTCCCAAGTGAGTTGCACAACCAAAGTAATGAAAGATTACAAGTATCAAGAACAAACTCCCCATTGTAGCAACAGGTTATCAACTATGTCTTAATTCAGTGGTTGGAGTGATAGTCTGTAGGATAGTATCATTAAACTTCTAATATTTAAATTAATTCCTGTCACTTTTTCAAGGGTTAAACTGAAATACTGCTGGGGAGAGAATGTAAATTTTCAGAAGGAAGGGTAGGTAAGAATGTAAGAGATATTAATAGCTGTGTTGGGGTTAATGACCCTTTTTGCACAATAGAATGTAGTTTATAAGAATTATCTTGGGGTCTTGAAGAAGGGATTATCTTAATATTTCACTTGGAAATGCATAGGGGAAACATTCATTGGTACTGTATGTGACAGAATTCATGCCTTATAATTGCCCATGGTTTCAGAAGGTTAATAATAGSAAACCCAACAACAGATGAGCAACACAGGATGTAGGTTGTTTTATTCTACTGAAGCAAGGACCTACAGGGGCTTTCTGGGGAATTTGAGCTGCAGCTTGGTTCTTCCACCAAGTACTGAACAAAAATTAAAAAAGGAAAACAGTTTATAATGCTCTGCTTGTCTAGAAAAAAAAGCAAACTGTATACATGGAGAAGCTGTAATGGTTTGCTGCTGCTACATGTTTACTTCTCTAGCAAGCTGAAATAATMATTTACTTTGTATATAAAATTGAGTCTGCCAGCAACACAGAATCYGCCAGGATACTGAAAATGCAAATTGCGCTATCACCTGGTGTTTAAGTATGAATTTAAATTGCAGCAGACCCAGGTTAAACATTAGGAAACTTTCTAGTAGAGAGGGTAATGAAGCACTGGACTAAATTGCTTGGGGAAGTTGTCCATCCCTGGAACCTTTGGAACAAGGTCTGCAAATACTGTCAGAGGGGGTATGGTTTATGATCCTGCCCCACCACTTTGTGTAACTGTAGGATTTATTGAATTCAGTTCCTATTTCTCTGTCACTTTTTTTCTTTCTGGGAAAAGCTCAGAGCACAAGTGGTAGACTTGGATGCTTGTTCTTAAGGCTGAATAAAACCCCCTTAAATTGAAATGGTGCTTTGAATCAGCATTTTCTTGTCAGTAATAATATGCTAGATTACTTCTAGTAAGAAAAGAAAATCAACCATACTGTTGGAGTTACTTTCAGGTTTTTGTTCTGTGCTTTTCGACTTTCAGATAGTGTGGTGAAGCGCTGTTTGTTTAAAATGCAAATGTAGCAGTTATAGCAAAAGAAAAATGTTGCTACACTCTTTTTTTTTGCTAAAAAGATCCATTCTTTGGTTTTTTAAAAAAACCTCAATGCTAATTAAATAGGTATTTCAATTAAAGGGTTTTTTTTTCTTTTTTTTTTTTTTTTTTTTTTTTTTTTGGAGGGAGGGAGAAACTAGAAAGCAAATGCTGAAAAGCTGTTTTGACTGTAATTTTTGAAGTCTGTCGCATCCAGCACTTTATCTTCAAATACATGCAGATAATGTGTGAACTTCTTAAACATGTAATAAAAATGTTCCACTTGGTGGCTTTAAATTTTGCCTACAGTGATTTTTCCAATATCTTATTTAAAGTAATTCCTCAATTACTCTTATGAATAAATCATTGTAAGCTTAGTTTATTTTATCAAATTGTATAGGAAGTATRGTAAACATACAATAGTTTTAGTTTTGATGTTGGAGAGCTGCATTTATTTCCTGGCTTTGTTATGGTAATTAAAGAAAGTGTTTTTCATCTGTTTCATCAGAAATTCGTAGTCCATCCTCAGCCTCTCTGGGTGACTGCAGAAGACATAGAATTGTGGCATCACAGCAGATTGGAAGTTGAGCAAGTTGAGGGTAAAAACTTTTAATATCATTATTCCCAGCTGTAAGAACAGATTAAATAAAATGTTCTATTTTCATGTTCTACTTTGAACATGAAACTATCAAAAAACTAAAGGGATAAGACTCCAGAAATGTGCAAATGTTAAATTATATGCATTATTTTGGTATACAGAGGAAGAAAGTTTCCGTGGTGGTACAGGGAGAGAAGAACTGTAACATATAAACACAGAAGCTCATTACAGTCCACTAAAAGGCCAAAAAGCACTCCATTAAAATGTTTCTTGCAGATTGTTTTTAAACCAGAGTAGATAAAAATACATGAGACTGAAAGCTTWCATCCAAATTGTAAATGTTTGGTACACACATTTGGGGATCATTAGGTGATTTGAGGCCTGCAATGAAATACTGAACTAATAAGTGTAAAGGTGATGACAGCTGCTTCTGTGCAAAAGGTAGTATATATCTGTATAATCTGAATTTATATGGCATTTTTTTCAGGCTRTTTAATACAGCCTTGAAGAAGGTGTTTCTTTCAGGGGAGAGGGGAGAGATGGGAAGAAAAGTAATTCTTAATAAATAGCATTCTTGGTAATGTCTTTATTTTAATTCCTTTAGACTATGTCTGAATGTATCCAGCTCTCATTTGCTGTTTGTAGAATTGGCATTTACACGGTAAGGCAATGTTCTAAGTATTTTTTGTTAGTGTTAATGCCATTTGAGTGAAAAGAAGTTACTTTTTTTTTTTTAGGGTTGGATTTAAGTMATACAGATAGCAAAAGGCATTTGTCATAGTAGTTTTTATAATCAGACTACAGTATGCTTTTGTCCTGTCAAAGATTTGCTAAAACCAGAAAAAAAGTATTCTCCACGTCAGTTAAAAAAGGTAAAGAAAATTCAGCCAACCTCTTGACGTGTAAGAAAATTTAGATTTCATGTGCATCAGTTGCTGAGAACTCCTGCATAATATAATTGCTGAAAGATTAATATACWTTTCCCATTTAAATCTATGATGTTTAAGCAATGTCACATATTAAAACATGTTAGCTAAATGCACACGTTGTAAACTTTGTCTGGAGAGTCTTAGTATTTTGGAAATGCTATTAAGTTAAACTTCCCAAACCTTATATAAAAGAAATGAGAGGTTTACTTCAAGCATATGTACCAAATATGCTTGCGGGTTTTTTTTTTCTGCTACCACTTGTTCCAATTAATGATGAGGACAGTTAGATGAATGGGGTTTTGTAGAAATTAATTGTAATGAATACATTACAATAATGTAGTGTAAACAGAGCTTACACAATGTATAAGACTCTGTTGCTCAAATCATTCTTCATATCCTGAAGCTTTTGGAGTGGGAATGCTGCTTCCTTCTGTTAACACTTTTCAGGAGGAAGCCCAGAACGTACCACTTCACTGTGCAGTCAAAAGTGTAGGTGGGTTTCAAACAACAGTGCTGAGGGTTATGTGCCATCAGTAGGTCTTACTTGAGGACAGAATTTCAAAGATTAACATTTGCTTTTGTTCACAGAATTTGGTTCCTGCTTTAATATCTGCTTGAGTTTTTTTTCTCATGACATTTGCCTGCTTTCTGTTTTCAACCTCTAAAAGTCTTTTAAATGGTAGAAGAGTCAAAGGCATATTTCTCTATGGTATTTAAATTTCTTAGGAAGCCTTTCCCTGTAAAAATTCCTGTGYGATAGGAGTATACTGTCTTGAAGGACCAGAAGTGGTTACAGTATGATGTTTCAATGGCTGCAAGGCACTCAAACTGTCTGCCAGTTCTTTAGAAGGCTAGAGTAATCTGTTCAAATTAATTTGAGGAAATGTCAAGTATAAATGTGTTTGTACTGCAGACCTTGGTATAAGCACAGCTAAGTACATCCTCTGAAAGTAATCAGTTCTGCTTTAATTGAAAATAGGTAAAATGTTGTATATGTGCTACAGTGCCCTCCTGAGTTGTCATAGCTGCAGTTATAATGAAAGTTGTATAACTGGTATGTCATGATGACCTTTTGGGCAGCAAAACTCTTAATTTTATCAAATGTTTTAAATTGCAAAATAGAAAGAGTAACCTTCAGTTTTTAAAGTGCTGAAAGAAATTGATTTCATTGGCTGTTGGTACTTAAGGGAAGATAGTGAGGAGGATGATGATGGGGCTTCAGAATATCTGGAGATTCACTGTTGTGGCTACAGTTGTACAGGGCAGGACATGGGCCCCATGTAAAGGGAATTAGAAGGCTAAAATAGTTCTTTCAGGAAAATGCTGGGTGCAGAGAGTACTTGCTTACATAAAAATGCCTGTCATTGGAAAGGTGAGTTTTAAATAATCTGCAGGGTCGGTTTGGACAGCTTTGGTATCAGAGCAAACGGAGAGACCTGCTGAAGTGAGAGCCATGCAGAAACRCAGCATGATAGTTTCTGCCTTTGCAGTGTGTCCTGCTCATGCTTGTAACTCTGTCACAGGATTTGTTGCTCAGGTATGTGAGCAGTCTGGCAGCCAGCAAGCATTGCGTGCTCCATACTGATGTCAAGAAGCAAACCACAAAACTCCAGCTCATATTTCCCTTTTAATTAATTCCTTGGCTTATGCGCTTTCTGCTGCATGCTGTTTTGCAGATTCAATAATTTTTTTTTCTGTTTGCTAGTTGATTGATTTTTRTCCAAAATCTAAGCAGTCTCTCAGATGCCAGTCCTTAGCAGCACCATGTGTTTAGTTTGTACTGTKTTACTTGGACACTTCCTGTTCTGCATGTCCCCATGCTGCAAGTAAGGCTCTTAATCCTTTGGACTACAGACATCTCAGCTCTGAGTCTGTTATCAAACTGCTTATCAGCAACACTCTAAAGCACCCATTACATCAGCTGTACTATGCCATTAAATAGGCTTCCTGTTTTTATGACATGTACGGATTATGAGATGGAGGAAGAGTTTATGTCGTGATCCATGGCAAAACAGCCTGTGCTGCCCTCAGTTACCATGACCAAGAYGTCAAAACTTAGTTGTCTTGAGCTAGCAGAAAACCTATATCTTTGCAAGAGTACAGAAGCAGATGTGATGCCTATTTTGGGTGAATTAAACAGGTAACATTATTTTATAGAGTATGCTCTTGAAGGGAAGAGTAGAAAAGCAGAGGTGGTTAATATAAAAAATATGTAAACATTTGTAGGGATCTGAAACTGGTGATGTGTATTCTAAATCAAAAACATTATCATAAACTCAAATGAAAAATTGTGGGATAAAGAAATGAACCAACCAATGAGAATAAAACTGAGTGTGTTTCACATAGCTGATAGATTCTGACAGAAGCACCAGTTTTTCAGGTGCATGTTTCTGCTTTCACCATACTAGTGTCTGCATCAGRTTGTTAATTGGATGTGTGGGGACAGGCAGATAAATTTGTGAATCTGCATGACCGTGGAGATGGTAAGCATATGGCAGCTTGTATCAAAATCTATAGTTTATTTCATTTGTTTCTCATTTAGTTGTCTTAACCAGGTAAAAATCCTATTAAAATAATGATGGAGAATTCAACTTACATGAACTTCAGTGGAAAAGTAATCCAAATTTTTTTGCCTTCTGAAAYAATTTTTATGATGGGACACTTGGAACCCTTATACTTATTTAGGACTCCATCTTGGGAAGCAGTGTGCATGATTGTGTGCCTACACATATACTCTGGAAGGTTTTCTGATACTCTGTACTAGGCTTTGAGATTTTTGCCTTTTCATCAATTTGCGTATACTTTTAAGCTTTTTTTGAACTGGGGAAATAAGGTATTCTTTCAGTCCCTAATCCTTAAATGTGACTTCAGGAATATGCAAAAGTAATGTTCAGTTCACTTTTTGTTTTGGATAGCCAAACAAGGACAGAAACCTCTCCAGGGCTGAGAACCATGCAAAAATATCTAAGGAGGCCTAGTGGAAGCATAGTCTTTTGCTGATGTGTATTAGAAGGAAAAATACTGGAAAATACATTTTCCTGTGTCAAGAAATTAGTAAGTTTTCCTTCGTTTCAAATCATTGCATCAGTAGATAAATAGTTTTGTTTCAAAGCAAAACAAGGATAATGAATCCTCTTTAGATCTTTCTGCTATCGGATGCTGGGTAAGGCAGAAGTCATRCACTGTAGCAACATTGCATCAGTGTTGGCATCTTCTTCCTGAAAATCACGAGTAATCAATATTTTGGTTTTAGTAGCCTCTTGGCTTGAATTTGCAAAATGAGAAGTGGAAATAAAAGACACATTTTTACAGCTGTACTTGCTATAGTTTATGTATGGTAAGTATGGTAAACGATGCTAATGTGCTTTTAGTTTTCTGGTTTACTTTGGACTTACTTACATTTGTCTTTGTTTATAATGATAAATTCATGTCTTGAAATGGTTTGACTAGAAACAGCTGTTGTGCTAGGGAATTTGCCTGATGGTAGAACAAAACAGAAATAGCATTTACTCATGAAGTAGAGAGGAAACTCTTAAAAGAAGAGGAACCTACTGAGGCAGCAACTAAAGGAAGCCATGAAATAGGAGGGAATCATGGGAGCCTGTCTGGGAGGTTTCGGGACCCAGCCTGTGACTTTGACTATGGAAAGCTTCCTGTGAGACTCTCCCCCTCCCTGACATGGTTTCCCATTGGAAAATGCTAAGTTAAAGTAATAATAGTGTTCATATAGCATATCCTGTCTACTCCTCCCTTTCCCATGTCGTGTCCTTGACATGAGCAGCAAAACAAAAGCACGTAAGTGCAGCAGGAAAAAGTCCTTTTATGTGCTACCCTTGGGGAAATGTGGATAATTCCATTCACAGTCTCTGCTGGTATTTGTGGGCAGACTGTTGGAAAGGAAAGATGTAAATGTGTTCAGTTTCCAGGCTTAAATAAAAGGTGCTTGCTCTCAGCTGAGTCCTGGCAGTGACTTGCGTTGGGTGGGACTCTGCCCTCTTGGTTGCTGCAAATCTGTAGTCAAGCTGCTTGAACCATGCTAGTTGTCATTTGTGTTGCTGCCAACATAGCAGGAGAAAGAGGAGCAGACTGTCCTGATGCTTGTGTCATTCTGTGAATGTGAACGTTAGATACACTGTGGGTTTTTCTTACTAGGAGCTGTGAAACTTCCCTTTCTACTTTTCTCGAAATGAAGGAACAATTGTAACATTTTTTCAAATTAAGAAGGTAAAGACTGGTGAAGGGCGAAAACATCAAGGCTGGACGGAKAGTGAGGATCAGAATAAATTCTCTTCCCTTTTTCTCCACAGAGTTCATTGAATAAAGTGAGCTATGCTGACATGGCTGGGCAGCCTCTCCTTGTGGCCAGAGCTCATGTTACCTGCTCAAAGAGCTCAGCAGCTTGGTCCAGCCAGTGCTGCCTAGACAGCATTGCTTCCCTGGGCTAGTCATTGGTATATACTGTATTTCCAGCTCTTTGGGAACCTTGGACAATTAGTAATTGATTTCACTGACAAAGGTATGGTTTGCCAAATTACCCTGTTAATTTTTGTCAGAATCTCTGTTGGACAAACTTGCATGTTGGAATCGAGCTTTGTCCTGGGCTAGGGATTTTATGAATACAGGTTTTGTTCCTTCTGATTTGTCTCTGCTGTCCATGGCTCCTTCCTGCTGTAGAGAGCAGCAGTGTTGTTTCTCAGGCCATTAGCTTTAGGGAGGACAAGAGCAAAAGCCC